AGAAATACAGATATTTTATTTGATTTATAATTATATTTATATATTAATTATAAAAAAGTGAATATTATTATTAAAATACTAATAATCCTTGTCGAATTACTATTATTGATTTCTGCCAGATTAATATAGTTTAAATTTGCCTTTATAATGTAGCAATAGCTTTTTTAAAAATTAGTTAAAATGAATATAGCATTATTTAATGTTACTTCTCAATTATTTGTATACATTCAATATGATAGAAAAAAAAAATATATTATCATACTTAGCATTTATGCTAACAAACTTGGATATTCCATGGATTCGAATGCGAAACAAAAAAAAAAAAAAAACAAATTAAACAAAAAAAAACAATCGCCTTGAGTGATCGAAATTTTTCTATTGTACATATATGCCATAAAGAAAATCTTTAAAAAAATTCCATTCAAATCAATGAGGAAAAAGTTTTAAATTCACTCATATATAGTTATATATCATATATAATATAGTTTTCAAAATAATTCGAAAATTAAAATCATTCATTATATATAAAGAACAAAATTATTTAAAATATTTAATATTTCTTTCAATATATTTTATTAAACTCGATAAAAAAGCTAATTGATAATTGAGATTAACTAGAAAATATGAAATATGTATAAAACTTTTATGATTTCAAAATTTTTCAAATAGAATTTTTATTTATTACATTTACTTCTTTTTGTTAAAGTTTATGGATTAAATTAGAAATTAAATTAGAAAATATATGTTAATACCAAAAATTTAATATTATTTGTAATTGGTTTAGCTTATTGTTTCAAAAATATTTTTGTAAATATTCGTTCAAGTTTAAGTCTGTGAAAGTATATTTGTTGATTATATATAATAAGGATATATATTATTGTATATCAGAGTAGTTTTAATAAAATTTTTATTATATAATACAAAATAAGTAAATATATCAATTTTATCGTTGTTTATAAATAATTTGTAAATCATTTTCTGTGACAATAATTTGTCAATGACTAGGGACGAAATAAATATTTTTGTCATTTCTAAATTTAAAAAATTGAATATGGTTGATATAAATCTTAATGATATAAATTATTTTTAATAACATATGTTAATGTATAAATTGTGTTTCTTTTACAAAACATTAGATTTTTTAAAAATTTATCAAAAATATAATAAATATCTCGCGAAATTGTTTTTTAAATATATTAAATGTATACAATAAAATTTTTCACACAAAATATTTTAAAGAATATTTTAAAGAATATTTTAAAGAAAAATTTTTCTTTTAAAAAATAAAATAATATAAAACAAAAATAAAATAATATATGCAATTGTATTTAAAAAAATGCATTTATATTTTTTAGGTACATCCTTATAAAAAAAAATACAATTTAAAAAATTGTCACTATAATATCATTTAAGTTTTCTCTTTATAATTTTTTTTATCTTTTCCTAAATTCAAAATAAAACTATTTGCTATATATATTTCAGAAAAAAAAGAAAATAATATAGAAATATTAATAATAAATAATAAATATATTAAAATATCTTAACAGTATTCATTGATATTAAAAATGCCTATAATAAATCATAGTAAATTTATCAAGGAATTATGACAATGAAAAAAAAAATAACAGAATATATAAAAATATATGCATCAAATACTACAATTTATCAATAAAAAGAAAGTATCCATTTGAAATCTTTAATACTTTACAATCTTTAATACTTTACAATTTGTATAAAACAAGCATTACTAAAGACATAAAATATTTATATTAAGCAAGAACATACAGAATGATATAACATATACTGATGATATTGTAATTGAATATATACAAGCAATAAAATCTTAATAATTAAAGAAATATGTAACAACTAATAATTAATCTAATTAATTTAATATTTAACTTAAACTTAAAAAAGATAGAAAACAAGATAGATTATGATTTATGATCTAGAAATTCCTGTAGAAAAGATGTATAATAATAGTAAAATAAATTCTAAAAAAAGACTAAAATCTAATCAAAGAGGTACAAGAGGTATATTAATAAAAAATATAATAGAAACACATAATAAATAAAAACATATAATAAATATAAACACAATAAATAAATAATAAATAGAAACACAATATAAAAAAATAACCAAGTAAAATTTTAAGAAAGATAAGATAAATAACCATGTGGATGAAATAATAAGAAAAATAGCTAAAAGAACAGTTATATAAAAATACATAATAATAATAAAAAAAGATACACATTCAAAAATCAATAATAAATATCAATCAGATCAATAATAGAATATGAAATATGATTTTATTTAAATACTTTAAGAAAAAACAAAATAATTGTAGAGAAAATAAGAAAATAAAATGCAGGAATTAAAAGAAATTCTAAGTTTAACTCAAGATAATCACATTAACATATATAATGTACACAGAAACAGAAATAATAAATAATTATAAGAACTAAATTATAAGAACTAATAATCAATCAAAAAAATGCAGAAAACATGCAATGAAATAAAGAATAACTTAATAAAGATTATACAAAAGATTATAAAAAAGATAGAAAAAAACAAAATAATAAATAATCTATATTGAATATATATCTAGATGAAAATAAACAAATAAAAGACATACATGATAAAGAAAAATAGAAATATCAAAAATAAAAAACCAAGACACTTAATTTAAATAAATGAAATACGAATAAAAATATGAATATTACTAATAATAAGTAGTAAAAAGATAAAACAAATATTAATAAATGATGCTATTAATAATCACATGGATCTCAAAAATACAAATATGATAATAAATATATATATAATTCTAGCTTGTATGCAGTAGGAATAATAAAAAAACCAATGGATAAAAATAAAAACCAATATATATATAAAGATGTTAATATTCACAATGAAAACAACATTGCGAATACATAATGGATAATAAATTATTATGTATATTATGTGTATATAATAAATTAAACAATAACAATACAAGAAAAAAAATAATAAACAAATAATACTTTATTATCAGAATTTTATCTAAAGGCATAATAAAAGTCATTATTTATGAATTAATAGAAAAAAAATCCCTCAAAAAAAGGATGTTAATTTATTAATTTATTAAATAAGGATATTAATTTATGATTTAAAAGAACTAACCAAAAAAACAACCAAAAAAATAAAAAATTTATAGAAAACAATACAAAAAAAGAAAAAAAAAAGCATAGAAATCAACAAAGAAATAAAAATGAAAATTATATAAATTCCTGCACACATAAAAATTTAAGAGATTGAAAGAATTAAGAAAAGAAAAATTAAATATAATATAAAAGTAAATCAAGTAAATAAATCAAAAATATGATTTTTGATTTATCAACAATCCAAGAAAATATGAAAATAAACTTCAAAATATTTGACTTCAAGACAATATTAGAAAACTTTGTATTATTGTATTTATGTATTGTGTTTTCACAATATTATATAATTTATACATATAATAAGTAATAGAAAATAAAAATGGTAGTAGAATAAAATTAAAGAAAATAGCTAATATTAAAAATAATTAAATAAATAAAACTAAAATAAAAAAATAAAAATATTAGCTTAATAGATTAATAGAAAAAAAAATATTTCAGCAAAGTAAATCATAAAAACTTGGAAA